CTTCCCAGTCCTTTCGTCCCTTCCCAGTCCTTTCGTCCCTTCCCAGTCCTTTCGTCCCTTCCCAGTCCTTCCCAGTGTGATTTCCTTCCCGATTTGAACCAAGACAGGCCAGCCCTTCGCTTGCAGCAGCGCTTGCAGCTGCAGCCATCGACCCACTCCAAAGCCCAATCTTACAAATCACAAATCCCTCGGTCCCTTCCATAGTAAAGTGAAAACACCAAAACACTGCCAATTCAATACATATTGATCAGTCTCTCAGAATCTTTGAGAATTCACTGAGAATTCAACCTTCCAAATCAATACATCCCTTCCACATTGATCAGCCACCCACCTTCCCTCAAAAGCCACACATCCTTTTCGCTTTTTCTGTTCCAACCGTTCGAGCTTCAAACATCTCCGCTCCCCACATCGCCGCGCCTGGTGGTCAATCGGCGCAGCCATCGGCCGGCCACGCACGAAGCGCTCGTTGCCCGCCTGGCCCATTCGCGACGTGGCGGGAGTGCTCGGGGGCACCGGGTGGTGCGGTTCCGGGTGCGGCAGAACGAACAGAACAGCTCAGAGCGACAGAAGTCAGGTGAATCAACAAGCCCAGAAGTGTTTTGGTTTCTTTGTAAGTGGGTAGTTGCGAGGTTGGATTGGTGACCGATGAGCGGGATGAGCAGACTGGCGGCTCTTCATGGTGGAGGCCTGCGTTTCGAGCATGCAAGGACCTGGACCTGGACCTGAGTAAAGAAATCCTATTATAGCTCAAATAGGAAAACCTCCCAAGCGTTGACTGGGATCGGTTTGGAGAATAGATCAGTCTACTCCTGAGGGGTAGACTTGATCTCCGGGGTCTCCCTTTTTTTCAATCCCTAGGGCTCCTCTCCCATCTCCTCAGGTTCGGTGGTATCCGACCCCCCGAACCGCCCACCGAACCGATTGCCGGAGGGGGGGGGGGGCCCCTGTCGGGAGCCCGAGGCCGGGAAGACACAGACCGACCGGTCGGCCCGCCTTGAGGAGTAGCATGGCTTGGTGGGGTGGCACTGCACGGCGTCGGGCCTCGTGCGCGGGTGCGCGGAAGCGGACTGCACCCAAGGGGGTATGGACGACATGAGAAGATGGGATGCGACGAAGCCAGATCCAAAGCATTCGGATTCATGACATCAGCCGCTGAGTGCAAAAGAATCCAGTGCTTTCTTCACAGGTGCTTTGGGGGGAGTTCCACGCCGGATTCAGTTGCCACTGGCCTGTAGGTCTCGTTTTCCAAATGAAATGAGTTCAATCCCATCTACGGACGCACGCTGTTCTATGCGGGTGGCTTTGTGGCAGACCTGGCAGACCTAACCTCTCTCTTGCAATACATTTTGAGATGGCAGAGCTGTCTGTAGCAAATAGACACTGCAACACCTCCTAGCTATTCTTTATGTCGCTTGCATAAATGCGATGGCTCATCTGTGAAAAAGAATATGATCTCCAAATTCACCCAGGTGTTTTCATCAAGCGCTCCCACCAGACTTGGATCGTATCCATGTCCGGTCGCTTTCTCCACGGGTAAACGCCAGACCATGGGGACTGGCTGTGGTTGACCTACATTGAGGTGGTAGACTGACCCAGCGTCAATGGCAGCATCTATTCCATCCCTGTGGATTTCCGTATTGTCGGACCTTCCCTGGGGATCTCGGTGCGACAACGGATCCGACGTGATCACTTGGCACCACATCACCGTGTCGACACCCGGCTTCACCTTCAACGAAGGGCATGACTGGATCCCGAGGCACAATGAATTAAAAGAAAGAGGTAAAGTTCCGTATTCCATCGTATGCCCTTACTTACAAAATAAACCTGGACCTTCAAAGGGGTGTCCTGTCTGGAGGTCCCTTAGTAGTGTAGGGGCTTCGATTGGTGACCCCTTTGAAGGTGCTGGAAGTAATATATTGATTTTTGTCTGCGAGGGATTGTCCTGAGTGGTCCGTCGGCGGGCGGCACCTGAGTGGTTCAACGAGTGTCCCTGGGTCGCCTTTGATGCCCGTACCCGACCCTTGGGCGGCTTCCACCCAAAGATTGTAGAGACATCGTTGTAACAACAAAGGCTCAGTGGGTAAAGACGAAATCCATTGGTGTTTGGAAGCCTGGTTCAGCACACCGGACCACGTGGGAGAAGCACACCCGCCCATCCCGACATGTCGACACCAAAGGCGTCTTCAAGCTACGGAGCTACCCGATCTACTCTTGACCCACTGCCATATCTCATCATACCAGGACCCTCCTGTCGGGGTGTCTATTTATAGCCCCTAGCTTAGCTGTGATTCGGGGTGTCCATGTCTACCACCCCTTGAAGGCCCTGGTATCGTTCAAGACACCAGACCAACCTGGTCCTTTTGGAACTTCTTCCAGCGAGCCCGTCACATCTGGCGAAGCTGCTTGGGGGAGAAAGAGCTCATCCAAAACGACCTAAACGTCCTTGGAATCACCCTCACCAAGAGAAACCGCGACCAAATCCATCCAAAAAAGGAACAAAACGCCCTCCATCGACTCTACCTGCTCCTTCACCCCTTTCGGACCTGACTTGCAGACCCCCCCCAGAGCTTGCTTCCCCAAGGCACCGAGGGCACAGAGGGCGCACCCCTGGGACCACTGGGACATCGGGTCGACGCGGATCCTCGGCGCCGCGGAGCGCGGCGGAACGCGATCCGAACGACCCCACCCCGTGGCGCCGATGGGTTCAGCCGGGGCGTGGCGTGGCGTGGCGCCCTTTTTGGGGTCCAAAGCAATTCCTGCCAGCGAGTGGTGGTTTCGTCCGACTTGCCTTCAAGAATCCGGTCCTGGATTTGTTTGGAAGTCTGGGTCTTTTGGAGATGCAGCTACTGGAACTCTTAAAACAGCACCTGAGACCAAAACGAAGCGTCTGGAGACCACAAAACGTCCAAAGAAGTGGGAAAACAAAGCGCCGATTACACAGGCCAAGGGGGGCGGGAGACAAGACATGGGGCCACCAGGCAGCAGACCCGGTCATTGAAGTAAGAACCGCCCAAGTCTTCGGCCGGCTGGGAAGCTGAAACGTCCGGCACGTGGCACGTGGTGGTTTTTGCGGGTCGTGCCACATGTCCAAAAAGATCCGTACGGCCCGGCCATGCGATCGGTGAATGGACACTGACCTTTATTAAACATCTATTATATATATATATATATATATAACCCTACCTGGACCTTCAAAGTGACCTCTTTGGAGTCTCTAAGTGACCTCTTTAGGGACGATTCGTGACCTCATTCTAGGATCTCAAAAGGTCACTTTGAAGGTCCTGGTAATTAACCCCACATATAGGCCTATAGGGTTTATGGGTTTATGGGTGGGTGGGATTGGGGGGTCGAAAACCACCGGTCACCTGACGAGATGGGACGAGACAGGAGCCTTTTAGGGTAAGTAAGAGGCTATTGGGACGCCTCATGGCCCTGCGCGGCCCTGCCCCATCCAGGTCCACCGGTCCGGGCCCTGGTCCAAGCCACTGAAGGTCTCGAAGCTCGTCGAACCCTTGATGCCTTGAGCGTGGTATGAAGACACACGACGTGTGGTCTCGTGTGGTCTCCAAGCAGTTCGATGAGTCACCTGGATGAAGAGGTGGTATGAAGATGTAGATCCAGTCAGCGAGAGAAGTGGATCTGTTGTTTTTTTGTGGTGAATCTGGAACATTCAGCACATCAGCTCCTCTTCATGCCAACTCCCAATTTCAGGAGATCAACACGTTTAAAAGACTCGCGCCCTCGCCCGACCCCCGGGAGCGAGTCGTCCGCTCCGAGCGACTCGTCGTCCGAGAACGGGAGCGGCGCAACTGCGCGCCTCGCTTCTCGGGTTCTTCATGTCCCATCGAGGCCATCTCTGGCATGGAGGGCGGCTTCTTCATGGGCCATGACGAGGCAGAAGGGCTCCACATGTTCTGAGCGCCGCATTGGCGGCGGCGCAAGAGCGTGGCTCCCGCGCCGGGGGGGAGTATTTTGGGGGTTGACCGGGCGTTGTTGAACGCGTTCGGAAGCGGAAAGATGGAGGCAAGAACTCTCCCCCCTTTTTGGGTGGTGCAAATAGATGTGGCTCTGTGGTGTGTTTTGGGGGGTGGAGTCTCTTTGGAGGTGGGACAGAGTCGCGGGGGCTGGTGAGTTGGTGGAGCAAAACCTCCGGATGTGCAGTTCTGCGAGTTCGCCGGAAGCAGACGAAACGAGTTTTTCAGCTGCTTCGTTTCATGAAAGCCTACTCACTCTCAAAAAGGCTCAGATCTACGAACCACTCTCCAATCGTCCCAGGTCTCCCGGTCCGGAAACCACATTTTTTGTAGTGTGTGAACTGCCTTGTATGACCACGTCCCAGTATGTCATGACATGAGGAGGGTCTTTCAAGTATACTTCACTGTATGCTTCGAATGAAATCATCATGCTATATATTTTTTTGGCGTGGATGGCATGACCCCGTGCTTGTGTATGATGAAAGACCCGAAGACCAAACAGGTGGTGAACTCGTCGTCTCGCGACCTCCCGCCTTGTTCGCTCACCTGTGAAACTCTGTGCCTTGAAAGACCATCACCCAGGTTCGCTTCCTCAAAACCTACCTGTACCTGAAACAGGGGTGTCGGGTGTCCTGTCTGGAGGTCCCCTATATAGTCGTGGGCTGGGGCGAGCTTCCAGCCAGGTGATCCCGACATGAAGGTGCTAGCGCATGCTGGTAGGGATTGGTGAGACACCCTGATTCGGGTCCGACCGCTCGCGCACCGCAAACGCCGCTCCGCGCCTTGCTCCGGTCTGCCGTGTAGCCCGCGGAAAGTGCCATGGGACGAATCCGGAAAAGACGGCGTTGAAGCGGAAAAAACGGCAGAAAAGGGTGGAAAACCGAAGGGTGAGCCGATGGCTGGGGGTGTTCTGGTGTGTTTTTTTCGATGTTTTCGAAGTTGGTGGTTTTTGTCGTTTTCGTTGGTCCAGGTTTCGGTTCAGTCTTCAACAAACTGGAAATGATCTGAAGATAGAAGCCTCTGTTCCTGTTTTTGTTTTCCACCGTCCGTGGTCAATGGATGGCTTCGTTTCACGGGCTTCGCTGTAATTTGGCTTCGTTGCTTCGGTGTGAGTTTGTTGTAATCCTCTCCCATCTTGGGCAGAACTCTCTAGTCTCACGTCCAGCTGTCCAGTGGATGGCACCTCCAAAAACTCGCAGCCAAAAAGGTCGCGAGAAACCGCTGGACCGTCGGCGTGGGCGATGCTGAGTGGCGATTCGGGATGTACCGTTCACGAACGCTTGAGATCGACGAGACTTGACCAAACGGTGAGTGCAAACTGGTGAGCCCGAGTTTTTTCCCACCGGAAATGAAGAACAGAAATAGACGACCAGATTCACTTCGTGACAGGTTTGTAACGATCAATCGGCATGCCAAGGAGTCAGCTTTTTCAGGGGAGGCACAGCAACATCAATGGTACGGCAGCTTGTGGTGGCAGATACATCATGAAATGGCACAGAAAACCCCCAAAGGAACAGCAGCCTCGTCGTCCCTGTTCGGTTCCAGCAGCAAAACCAGCCACTTGATGTCCACAGTCTTAATCCTTCTTTCAATGCCACTATAGATAAGACATTCCAAAACAAACACACCAGTCCTGCACCGTTTTTGCATCACCCAAAGGAGCCACGATTTCTGAAACCAGAACGACGTTCCATGCAGGTTCCGAAAAAACGCAGCTCAAACGCGACACTAGAGTGACTCATGAAAGAGGGCGACTCCTATGGCATCACAGACTGGTCAATCGCTCCAACAACCGGACTTTGATGCCACAGAGAGCATGTTTGGTCTGGGTTCATATCACTCAGCAGAATCAGCACGAGTCTCGTGCGTCAATACAAGCACCAATGTACTCGTCTCAGTAGTCAATGTATTCTTCCCAACAGTCCCCATCAAAAAAAGGGCTGAGAAAAAAGAGTAAACGGTGGACCCTCCTCATTAGGGTCCCTCTGTTTGGGATGGTCCCAAAAGGTGAGTACCTTCCATGTCGAGCGGGTC